TTTATTTGTCTGAGGGTGTTAGAAGTTTCTGTGTTTTCTCACAGTAGTTTATTAAGAACGCTATCTTTAAGTGGGTTGTGGAAGGACTAAAATGTGGTTGGACTCCCAAATGGTTCCCGACTTTGTCTCGCTTCTTGCAGCTCCTTTAAATATGTCTCCATATGTAACTGGATGAAAGCAGCCATCTTTATATTAAGCATGCTTCATTCAATAGATTAGGAAATCCTAGGAAGGGAAGCTATGTACAGACCCTGGAGCCTGATTGTGATTTATTCTGAACATTATCTCTCAGCCTAAACTGGAAGGACTAGAATGAGGTTCAATCCATGTGTGATTCTCAAACTACTCCTACTTTCTGCCATTTACTTTCAGCTTACACCTCATGTTTCCTAGACAAGTTTCTGATTCGGGTACACTTAAACGGTTTTATTCGACTATCCTGACCAGTGTAAGAAGAAAACAAACTAGGGCACATGTTTGGTAAAACAAGTGGCAGTGTCCAGAGGTTCAGAGATACACATGTTTCTAAGATAGATAATTATTCGGGGGAGGATTCATTGGTGTATATCATCCTTCTGGGGGTAGCGAAGCGTTTGTCTAATCCTAATCCATGGATCTGACCAGTATGGTACTTGATTATCAACATGCTTCTGGGCTGTGTTCATTCATTTGGTTTTGAACTATGCATCTAATTTACACTTTATATGAAGGTCAAGCCTAGATTTCAAAGATAGTTCAATCTCCTCTTTATAGGAACCTCAACTAAGAAAAATGTGATAGACTAAAACTGATGTCAGGCAAAGCCTGGGAAGCATTGGTTTGAGATCTGTGCTTTAACTCTCTTTAATAAATCAAATCTGTGGAGTATTGAAATTATCTAGTGATAAAAGATTTCTAATATGTTATGCTTTATTATGACGTCTATTTTCAAATATCATACAAACTATAACTTAGGCTAGAGATCTCCTCCTTCTAACCTCCTATCCCCCTTTATTTTTCTCTTTAAGGAGAACAAATCAAGTAACATTTCCGCCTATAGAAGCTGGGAAGAGTAAAAGACATTTGAAAGTGTTCTACAGCATTGTCATGGTCTTTTTTGTGATTAATTTTGTGTTGCACTCACATGCAAATGGCACCTATTGATTTTATTTTTTATAGGTTGTTGCAATTACTGTGTTCTGCTTGTTAGTGGTTGCATTTTATGCTTTCTTCGCTCCTTTCCTTGGAGGGCGCATCTGGGAATATGCTCTGGTTGCAGCTTACTCAGTAGTGGTATGTGAATTCATTAATTTTATTTATTTATATTGGGGTTTCAAAAAATCCTTTTTTGTACCTTTTTGCATGAAAGATCTATTAGATTACACAAATTCAGGACATTTCTAATACCTCCTACAGATTTAGATCAAATAATTTTCTTTTTTTAATCTGCATAATGCAATACAAACTTAACCGCCAAGTCTTATGTCAATACCATTCTTTTGATTGCTATGCAGGCACTCCTTGTTTTTATACTTTACGTTCGGTGCACTGCAATTAACCCAGCTGATCCTGGCATCATGTCAAAATTTAGAGGTGGGTCAAACAAATTTGAAAACCATGGGTTGTCGGTGAAGGATTTACCCAGAAGGTATGATGAGTTTGGCAGTGGACTGCATTCATCGCCATCAACTGTTTCCAGAAGTTCCCGGGCAGCACCGAACTCAAGTATGAAAGGTTCAGTGGGAGATCCTGGAACTATAGATGCTTCAACAGAGTATGTAAGCAGGAAATCTTGTTGCATTGGAGGAATCTTTTGTGCTTTATTTGTTCATGAAGATTGTCGCAAGCAGGAACCACCTTCTGAGCAAAGCAATGAAGATGCTTTGTTCTGCACATTGTGCAATGCCGAGGTATTTTGGAACCTATTTGGCTACCCTTTTTATCATATTATATTAGCTTTAAGTTTAATAATTTTTTAGTAATTTTATGTCCATGGTGTGCTTAACTTTACTTTTATCTTGCTCTTCATGCAATTTGTTGAGGGGGGGGGGGTTGGAGGGGGTAGGGTAACTGGTAACCTTCTTGAGTTGGAATTAATATTGCCAGAGATATACACTACATTTTCATTAGCGTGTTCATGGTGCCTCGGTACCTTTACTCCGCTATTTTTACTATGTATTCTTCACTACTCTCCTGGATTTTCACATGACATGCTTAGCACCAATCTTATCATCCACTACAAGTCCATGTAACTGCAGGCTTTGAAAGGTTGGCAATATCTTAAAATGGTGCATGCCTTTTTTTCTAACTCGTGAATGATTTCCACGGTGCAGGTGCGCAAGTTTAGTAAGCATTGTAGAAGTTGTGATAAATGTGTAGATGGTTTTGATCATCACTGCCGGGTAAATATTTTCATGTTGCTTCAAGTGTTCTTTATGGTCATAATTGTAATAGAATATCTTTCAACTTGTATAGTATTGGCATAATCTGGTTATTTGTTTGTGGAAATAATCTCCATCTCATATGTGGCTGCAGTGGCTAAACAATTGTGTTGGACAAAAAAATTATTTCACATTCATCTCTCTCATGGCCATCAGTATTGTTTGGGTATGCTTTTTAGTCAATTGCTTTTTATATAAAAATCATATTGCCCAGATTTTTATGATGCTTCTCTCTTCGTGGTTCAGCTAGTTATGGAAGCTGGTGTTGGTATTGCTGTCTTAGTTCGTTGCTTCGTTAACAAGAAGGGTATGGAGACAGAGATTATTGATAGGCTTGGAAATGGTTTTTCTCGTGCTCCATTTGCAACAGTAGTGGTACATCCCTTAACAAATGCTTTGAAGTTGATATGTCACTTGTGATTTTGTATTCTCGCAAGTATTTAAGTTTGATCCAAAATTTTGTAGGCGGTATGTACTGCAGTTTCTGTCCTGGCTTGTGTACCCCTGGGTGAACTTTTCTTCTTCCACATTATACTCATCAGAAAGGTAAGTTTCCTAGAAATGAAACCATTACTGTTGTTTTTGCAGTGAAATAATTTCTGGTTATAAGATGACATATTTTGAAGATATTCACATTTATAGCTAGAGTCGTGGTAGTTTTCGACTTTGTACATTTTAGTATCTGGATATATTGGATAAGGTAAATAAAGTAGTCTTATAGGGTAAGCAGTATGGCAATTTTGACTCTTACATGGAATCAGGGTATTACAACCTACGAATATGTTGTGGCAATGAGAGCAATGAGTGAAGCGCCTGCTGGAGCATCTGTGGATGAGGAAATGCCGAATGTGATGTATTCTCCATCTGGATCAGCTACAACCGGCATGAGCGGTGGAAGTTCTCTTGGCCTGCAGTACAAGGGGGCATGGTGTACCCCTCCTAGAGTTTTTGTGGATTATCAGGTACTTACATTTAAATGTTTGCTTTATTTGTTTTGTTTGGTGCTGCTGAGGAGTATATATGAATACAACATGGAAGTTTCTATGGCACTGCAGTTGTAAATAGTTGCGTAAAGTTGTTCATGTAATAAGTTCTGTGATGCCTTTTTAATTTGAGCCTACCTTCAAGGTAGTAGATTCATCATAAGTCTCTGGTTTGACTTCTGGAGTTGTCGCCTTTTGCATCTATGTTCTCCCATTGATTTGTATTTTTTAGTATAATACTTATGATTTAAAACTTATATTTGACATGACTACATCAGGATGAAGTAGTGCCCCATTTGGAGCCTGGAATGCTCCCATCCACTGTTGACCCAGATGCAGCTGGTTTTGCAGAAAGAGGGAATAAGGGACCGAAAAGGCCTGTTCGTATTAGTGCGTGGAAGCTGGCCAAGTTAGATTCTACTGATGCCATGAGGGCGGCAGCCAGAGCAAGAGCATCTTCTTCTGTTCTACGGCCTGTCGACAACCGTCGTATGGGAGATCCTGATCTTAGTTCCAGTGGAAACATGAGCATTAGAAGTAGTATTAGCACAGATACAGGTGCAAATAAAGAGATAAAGAATGATCAGCGATTATCACCACTAGGAAACTCTTTTGCTCCGAGTCAAGGTAGCCGTGATGAGTATGAAACAGGAACTCAAAGTGTAAGTAGCTTCAGCAGTCCAAGCCACATTCATGAGTCAGTCACGCTTAGCCCCTTACCTCAACCTCAAGGTGGTCGTTTCAATATAGCTACCTCCGCTCCCAGCATGCCAGGCCGTACCTTTATATCTAATGCTCGATTACCTGCTACCAACAATCCCATCAGGCCTGGCCCATCTGCTTCCGATGAAAGGGTAATATATAAGGGTGGGACTGTTGATCCATTGTTGCTTTCCGCCCCTGCCTCTTCCCTTCTTAGAGATGTCAAAAGGACTTCAGTTGTATGGGATCAAGAAGCTGGTAGGTATGTATCTGTCCCCATCACTGCAACTGATGCTCGGAATAGATCATCCATGCAAATAGGCTTGCCAAATTCTAGTGGAGAAACTAGCACCCAGGGTAGAAGGGCAGTTTTTCCACCGCAGGAGTCATCTTTGGCAGCAAGGGGTCCGGCACAACAAACGGAGAAGCTATTGTATACAGGAGACTCTATTTTCTTTGGTGGCCCACTTTTGAGTGTTCCGGTTAGAGATAATTTGAGAAATGATAAGGGTTTAGGTTCAAGGGAAGCTCAAGAAAATGGAGGTCTGAACTTGCCTCGAGAGTCTAGATTCAAAAGGGACTCGGTCTCAAACCAACTTCCTGTGTTTGTCCCAGGAGGCTTTGAAAATAACTCCGCTGCATCTGGTTCTGGTTTCAAGTAGACTTAACCACTTAACAAAGTTTCTGCACATTTTACCCTCAAATCATCAAGATTAGTGTGAAAGGACAACAGAGATCGAAGAAACCTCCCAGACGAGATGCTTGTACACTGGAACCTTGCAATTTTGAGATTTTGCAAACTAGATTATTGCATGGTTCAAGTGGTCTCTTCTCAAATGATTTAAACGATTCACCTTGGAAAAGCTCGAAACCTTAAAATTTCCACAAGAATATGTAATTTCAGTTGGATTTTGTACTGCTGCTTGTAAGATGATTTTCAAGATTTATGGTTTATGGTTAGAAACATTTGTTGACATTACTGCTTTATGATTATGCTTCAATCTCAGAACATTGTCAATGGAGGCGCTCTCAAACCAGACATCCAGGAAAGGAAGGCATATTTTTCAAGGGAAACAAACACATTGGGATATTGTAATTTTTGTTTGCAATTAACAACAATGCAGAATCATTTTATAATCAGTGGGGACAATAATCATTTCTACAATAACAAAAAATAAAGCTGATCTATTTTCCTCCAAAATTTTTGCAACATAACAATTGTGGTTGAACCTATCTGTACATATGAACCAAAGTTAGTGATCAAAATTGGATGACTAGGATAGAAACCTGTAAAAATGAAGGGGGAGGGGGAGGGAGAATCTCAACCATTGCCTGATTAATCTCTCAAAAGTTCATCACAGTTGAGCTGAGGTTGAGCAAAGGCTCCAATGCACTAGGAGCAAACTTTCGTGCAAAGAGATAACACACAGATGTTAGCTTGTCGTTATATGCACAAAGTGTCCCGTTATTCCTTATGGCTTGTATAAAACCCTCCGTGACATTAACTCCCTCGTGCATTGCTGGATGAGGGCCCCCCATTGACCAATCGACCCAAGTCACAGTCCGATTTGCATTCATTGATCCATGGAACATATTCAAGAAAGTTGGAATGTAATGCTCATCTGGATAGCAAGCAGGCTTACAATACTTCTTGAAAAGGTTGTAGTATTTGGTGTCTGAGACAATGTACGTGGCAACTGAACGTTGCATCTCAAACCATTGTGATCCTTTCCGCCATTGGTAGAGCTTAATGTGGGGAAGCATCCTGCGGTTGTACCGACCACGACCATAGCGGGTGGGATCATCGTATGACTCAACAAAACTGTAGCTAGAACCGATGAGATACTTGTAGACAGTTGGGAAGTTATAGACTGGAATGCAGCTCTCAGAGAGAAGAACAAATCGCTCGTTTGAGAAATCAAGCAGTGCATTGGCTAGTAGCCGCCTCTCTGCATCAGCCAGTGAAACAGTCCCCCATTCCACACGCTGAAAAAAAGAAAATAGACACATGAAATAAATAAACAAATACATGTATATACCTGATCACAAATGGCAAGTTAATGTAATTCAGAAATAACATTCATCCTAAATGTGGTTTTACTCGTCCCAAGTGATTAAACCAATTTAACCAATGATTTGTTATGACCTAAAAGCAGAATTTCCCACTTATCTCTCTCTCTCTCTCTACTACTACTACTAGAGGAAACAAAAAACATGACTTAGCAAGAATATGGCAAAATCAGTAGTTAAAAAAAACGAAGACGTGGAAAAAACAGAGGCAGTCGAACTGAAGAAAGTGGACCAAAGAAGAGAAAAACAGAAGGTTAAGAGGCACTCATGTCATATGTCAGTTGTCAGAGCAGGTAATGCTCAGCAAAGCTATTTATACCTTCCTTAATGACCTTCTGGGAGGAAAGCTATTTCTACATTGATTTTCACTCTTTTCTTATGCATCACCGTGGCTAACGCAATTAAGAAAGATGCGCTTCAGCAATGAAAGGATGTAATAACGTTGAGCTGAGAAGGATATAAGATAAAATAACAAAAGGGAATGGACTAGAAAATAGGAGAGTGAAGTTTAAAAAAAAAACATGAAATGCTATGAACATCAAGAATAAAAAGGATTTTTTTTGTTTCATGACAAAGGTTTAAAGAATTTGATAGAACTTTATGCTAGAAGGTTTGAACTTGGAAGTCTTGAGATCTAAAAACTCTTTATGGATAGCGGTGGAAGAGAGACAAAACTCGTTATTTATACATATGACAAGACCATGAAGTGTTTACAACAGATTCCACAGCAGATTTCAGCATCCAAACTCTTAAAATGGCTCTGGAGGATTTGTAATAAACAAACAGATTCATCTGAATATAATATCGAAATAATCCTTCCTAAATCTTCTACTTCGAAAATCTAGGAAAGGAATAGCACATGTATATTGCAATACTTCTAAAAAATACAAACACCTCATAGAATATGTGAATGGCTTTATAATTCTTACAACTCTTTCAACCTTTATCGTGCATGGCATTTAACCATTGCTTACAGTTCAACAACACTCCAAAAAGCATCAAAACTCCATCTCATCCCAAACAACTTACCTCTTACTAACAACAATAACTGAATCTCCTATACCTTTGTGGTTCTCTAACAATATTGAATTGTATCTACAAGGTAAATAGCATATCGAACCGAGTTGCATCCAAGTTTCATATTTACAAAATGACCATTTTCCTAAGTTTCAATGAAGCAGAGCTAGAGTTTTTTGAACAGAAAATGTTTACCAAAAATTTCAAGCAACCATTAGCCAATGTCACGGTTAGTACAAAAAACAGAAAAAAGCTCAAATCTAACATGAATCAGTGTTTGATCAATATTGAAATGGTACCTGACTAGGGATCTGTCTCCCATGGAAAGAGTCTATGGAGGCATTGAGGTGATAATCCGGAGGAGTATGGAGATAAATGGAGAAATACTTATCATGGTCCTTAAAGAACCTCTCCCACAAAGGCATGAAAGGCAAAGGGCCTCTAGTGATAAACATGAAGGCCACCTTTGGCAATCTGGGAAACGGGTACTCTTTTTTGTATGGCGTCAATGAAGCTCTCCAGAACAACTCGTCATCCGATAGTTTATGAGTCAAATTCGTTGGATGAAGGAAGACATCCTTGGAAAGACAGTC